AACATTAAAATTTCCAGTAAAAGCAGGGTTTTATATACCTGAACTCTAATGGCCTATTCTGAAAATATTTATGTCAGGAAAAGCATGGTATTTGCATGCCAAAAGCAATTTTAGTGCCAATGTTTAGCATTCCCTTCCCATTTAACTCTTTCCAACCTACTTCACAAGTGTTAGATGCACTTTCTCATACTTACCCAGTCCTCCTTCACATGTGGAGTTTTAAAAAGAGGAAACTCCAGATCGAGTTTCCAGATCAAACGCAAAAAGTTGGACACTTCCAATAACAGGCCACTGCACAAAATACTCATGTAATAGCTTAGAATAAATTTATAGCATACTCTTAACCACTGATTTTACCTCTGTGCTTTTTGCGTATACCTATTAATTTCGAAGGGGATAACTGCCTAACTAAAGTGAATGGCAAAGAAAAAAAGAGAGGAGAAATTAGGCAACCTAGTGCCATAGTTCAGAAATAACGGGTCAAAATTCTCTTTAAATATATGAGGTCTCTGGAAGTATGGGCAGTACTCGCTTACTTTCATTCTAAAGTTAAAATCAGAGCATGCATCTGTGAGAGCCAAGTGTCTTCAGCATCCTCTGTCTGGAAGGTATAGTCATTTTTTATTCAGTGAGAAGGGAGGGCATTTGACACCTATCTGGCCCTATACAGCAGTCTGTGGGATTGAAACTGCAGAAGAGTATCCAGTTTACCTATCTACTATAAAGAAATTGTATTTAGGTATGCAGGCTAACAGCCTTAAATGGGACTCTCAGAGGTACAAAAGTTGATATTACTTTAGTTTTTGCAAACTGTAATTTCCTAAATTTAAGAAAGGTTTAGAATCATAAGTTGATTTTCAGCGAAATTTTTCTTTCCTTCCTACTTCATACAAGCATGTGCAGGCCACAGCTTTTCAGGATAATCCATTTATACAAACATAACTTCTCAAAATGCAGCAAACATACAGGAGCACAACAAGTTTCTACTTGCCTTATCTCTCAGGGCTCTTAGCTTTGGAGGTTTTTGTTTATTTGTTTGTTTTTAGGGAATAAAATTAGATTTCAGCATCTGTCACCATCAAGAAAAAAATTCATCCCTGGCTCCCACGTGAAAACACTGTAACCAATGCACAGTTACTGAACCATGATGCCTTAATGATCATTACACAAATCAACTTTTTTTTTTTTTATTTGAAATAACAAAATTAAGAATGTGCTTCCATAATTATTTGAATCAGACTGTCAGGTTACAAATTTAATAACATTCCAATATGATTAAATTGTAGAAGTAATGTATGCCACACAAATTTATGTATGTGGAGATGCTTTTCGTTTTAACTCATTCAGGTGTGCTGATTAAATTTTAGCAAACAATGTTGTAAATATTGCCCTCCTCCCACCAAAATCTAAAGAACCTGGGAGCAGACAATGCATCACTTCATAAACATTCCTTTCTTTCATTTGCACGCTGTTTTCTAAAACTCTCTTTCCAAAATAGCCTAAAATAAAAGTAGGCCTGTTAGGCAGACCAAACTGAATTAAAAAAATTTAAATATTGATAGAAGATTGTTTTGGCCAATTATAGTTCTAAAACACAGATAAGAAATTATGTATTCAAACAATCTGAATTATATAATCTTCCTTAGATCCTATGTATAAACACAATAACTGATAAAATACGTATTTTGATTTAACAGACATTTTATGGATAATATATTGATCCTCAAAATCCTTAAGGATTCTTAAAATCATTAAATATATAGAAATCCTTAAAACAGATAGAACACACACTTTCCTATAAAGAAAAATAATGTTATATTGGAAGGAATCTTCTAGCTAAATTCCTAAAATCATTCACACCTATGCACCAGACGTGCCCTTTCCTTTGGGAAAGCCACCACGCAGTTTTGGAGGAAACCACCACCACAGCGCATTGTGAAACTGCTCGTATGTAAATTATCACTCACCTAAGCCAGGACACGATCTTACTAATATCACGGAAATCTCTTCCTGCTTTTGTCATTCCTTCCTTGCCTTACCTTACGCTAAAACCTCTCCGGAACCAAGCCTCTATCATCTGGTTTGTCAAACAGCAGGCCCATATATGGTCCTCTGCAAATCAGGTAACTGTTATCAAAGGCACTGATGCAACACAAGGGAAGAGGCTCAGTTTTTACCTCCACATTACCTAAATAGAAACTTTTGTAGTGCATCATTTAATAGCTACTCTGCTCAAAGTGCTCTAGTCAGCAGTATATTATCTGCAGTGCCTTGACTCAGGCAAGCCCAGCCACCTTGCAGGTGCTGGCTACTTGGAAGCCCAGTCTCATGTTGACACAACTCAGTTTCTTTAGAAAAACAGTCCTTCAGCAAGTAAGTATCTTTGTGCACTGGAGGACCTGCTTTGGATCACATACTGTTCTGTACTGTAATTCCAACAGTTTACAATCAGCAGTTAATCTTTTATACCCAAAATAAAAGAACATGAATGTTCAATTTTTGCCACGTTTAAACACAAAGATTTTAACCGACATGTCATTTTCTGCTACGTGTCCTCCAGACTTTTCATTTTAACTGGAGGTGATAATCCCAGAATTCCCATTTCTGAGTGGGAAACCCAATATTTCCAAAACTGAAAAGGCAACGAACCTCTTTACGAACCATTTAAGAGCCTCTTAAAGAACCTTTAAGATAAGTCCCACTTTTTTCTGCACAAGAAAGATCTTTTCTCTAAGAAATACTTCTCGTTGGTACTGTAGGCAAGCTCCAATGTAGAATTTTTTACACAGCAGCTATTGCCTGTAGCATACATGGCTTGCTACATTTTAAAAAAAAATACTGACTGGCTGATTAGCAGTCAAACGGTTAGAGAAAAGCAAACGCATTCAGTTTACCTCTGGGGTTATTTCTGTGAAGCAGATTTCTCCTACAAATGGCACTTTGGCTAACTACAGACTGTTACTCTATCCCTGGGAAGGTGTCAGTCTCGAAAACTTGCTTAATACATAAATTAACATTACATTGCTTAAATCCAGAAGAAAAGTAACCTCTGAGAATACGGGCCTAATCTCCACAGTGGAAATGAAGAGAACTGGGTGTTCTCTTTTGTTTGTTTTGTATACTCATAACATAGTATTGGTATAAAATTTAGAATCTCGTACAAACTCATACAAGAAAATAAAAAAAAAAAAGACACTTCATCCTCTGGAAGCTTTTGTGCCTTGCTTTGATTACCTATGCCTTGTAAAATCAGCATTGGAAGAGCTGTCCTGCCTAAAAATTGTAAGACTATATACTGCAATAAATACACTATCACACAAATAATATGAGATCAAAATCACATAGATTAGATTCATACCTTAGCTCTGGTGAGAACTGCAAAGAAAAGGGGAAGGTGTAGAAGACGGACAATTCTCTAACTCTTAGTCTTGACATGTAAATAAAGACATCTGAGGAGCACACAGGTTGGAAGCTGCTGTAACATTCTATCATAATTAGAAACATTTCAAGAGCCCTGTAATTTCCAATCAAAATTACAGTAATTTCCGATATACAAGCCATGATTCATGACAGAATTTTTACATTCCATGGGAGATTATAGTGGCCTGATGTATGACACACTGAGTACAGCACTAACATAAACAATTCAGTTTAATGTTTAAACAGCACTTGGTGTTTAGAATCTCACAATAAAAGAAACATATTATTGTAGAAATTATCACTTTGACAGTGATTGAAGGGTAAGCAGGCATGTGGCCTATAAAGCTGTAATTTTTACAGTCCACAGCTTGAGTTTAATCATTTTGATATAACATTTCCAAAATATCCCTTTAAATGTTCCTTACAGCATATAACTTAAGAGACAACATCCTTTCTATACAATGAAATGGAGTAAACTCCAAAATGCGAACACCGTAGAAGTCCAAAGTTAAATAGTATTAAAAAGAAAAAAGGCATAGAAATACTGAAGGCCCAAGAAACGTTAGGCTAACTGATCATTATCAGCTTTCACTGGAAGATGCTATGTTCTTCTATGAAGCCGTTTTAGCAAAGTAAAGGAAAAATGCCTGAGTGGACTTAATTTTTAATCTGATATGAAAACTTAACATTGTAGACATTGATATCTTTAACATTTCTTTCAAGTATTGATATAGCCATGGGTCTAGTCTTTCCCATTTTTCCTATATGTTTTTCCTTCACTTGCTTCTTGAGTACGTTCTCACTTAGGTCATGGTTTTACACACACTGTCAGACTTTCTCAGAAGACACGTAACTTTAGGAAAATCACGCCCAACAAGAGAATACCTTGCTTGCTGATCTCCCTGACAGAAATACTTTGTTTAAAGAAAACAGAGTAGTGTATCGTATGACAAAGGCTTAAAACTGAATATGCAATATAGATGCGTGCACATGCACAGGTCACCAAGCAGTCATTGTATTCCCTAAAGACCATACATGTTTTCTCAGGTTTAACTTGGATGACTGTAATTTGTTTTCTCAACTCAGACATCTGCCCCACCTTCAGCCCACATCCTCAAGAGTGGGCCTGTTTCACCAAGCTCCGTTTCTAACTAACCGTGTTCACAAAACCCAGCCCCCTAGCATTCCTGGTTATAGGCACATGCAATTGCAAAACCCCACAGCCTCGAGATTAATTCTGCGGCAATATATATAGCTTGCACACAGCTTTTTCCTCATTCACACCAACTATGACCTTACGAAACTGATGCTTTCTGAGCTGTGCAAGACCTGCAAGCATACAACGAACACATCTCGCTGATGGGGAAGAGAGAAGACCGTATCTCGGGAAGCTACTCCTCAACTCGGTCCAGCGATGGCAACCATACGTTATCTTTGGACTGAACAACAAGCTCTAAGTTGTGGTCCTGTGCTGTTGTACTAACCAAGCCAGCCACCACAATTCACACAGAAATAGATCAAAAACAGATGGGAAAGAAAGCACGCATGACAACGAAGCTGCCGTGCCTGGGAAACTTTACCTGGCTTTTGGTTGCTGCAACCTTTGCAAACAGTGCTTGAGACACTTTAGCTCTCTTCATTTCCTGCTTTTTCTGCTGAATCTCATCATAAACAGAAGCATTAATGTTCATGGAATTGTTTTCTGTTTTTCCGTTCCTCTCTGTAGCAATAGTAGCTGTTTTGACCTAGAAAATATATTTTATGAGATATTTTTATTACCAAAATTTCTTTTCCCCTTTCCCTCCCCAAGTAGTCACTCCTTCCATTTTATTCCTTTTATTCAAATTAAGTAAGAATTGTAACTACAGCATAAAAGATTCTCAAAGGAAATAAAAGCATAGATACATCTTGATTAATGCCTTATGACCAGTGTACTCAAATGCATGACAGTATAAAAAAGGTCTCGCTTTAGGTTTAACCTTCTCTTTAACTATTGGATTATCAGTTTAATTTTTAAGCTACTTAAAAAAGCAACAATTTAGACTAATGCATATTTAAATATACTTATTCACAAAACCAAGATAGGGCTTTCTTAAAACTATTAAGTCTTGGATTTCGCTTACATACATCAAATCTATTTTTTCAAGTATTTATTCTTCTTGCAGTCCTGGTTACGAAAAAGCATGAAAACATGACAAAATGATTATTCCACTACTACTTTTATTTTTGCTGCACTTGCAGTGTTAAGAAAAAACAGAAAAATAGATCAGTGGTGACACAATGCACAGGAGAATATCATCCTTTCATTCATCGGAAAGCTTCTGGAAATGGTGGAAGTGATGTTTCAACATCAAGAAGCATCCCACCAAGGTTATAGTGCAGTTGCTGCAGCACTATTTGAGAGGGACAACAAATCAGCAGGTACTCTACGAATTTTCTCAAAATATCCCTACAATATTCCCCATAATTAAGGATAACATTTTTCTTTAGCAGCTAAGCATGCAATGCTTGTTTGACAGTAGTGGACCTAGAGATGAAGGGGAAGATTGGATTTCTGACAGGAACCCACAAGGTGATGATGCAAAATCCAGCTTTTCAATTTTGATTCAAACCTACTGATTCATACTGAAGTTGTTGAGAGCTGAATTAATTTAGCCATTTAGAAGTTAGATGTCTAGTCTAAGAAATTCAGACTACCTCTGAAATTAGTGGACAGAGCTAGGTGCTTCCAGAGGGCGATTCAGCCTGCTCTCAGGAACGTGTCTAAAACCACAGTTTCACTGTCAGTTTAATCCAGTGCAAGTCAGCATCTTCCAGCGCTTTGAAACCCCTCAGAGTTCAAAGGGAAATGATGATGACGTGATAATTCATCTTTTAATCTCACTCTGCATCAGCTTTCATATGTCACGGGATCTCATGATGTGAGAGTCAAAGGGTTTGGGTGCGAGACATACTTCGGCAAACCATCAACCCATTTTTTCCTCAAAATGTCATGCTCAATTCATGGTAAGTACCCTCCGTGGTATCTTTAAAATAAAATAATCTAATCCAGAAACTGTGAGTGCATGCCACTTTTGCTGAGCCTGATTTGTCTATCAGGTGTTACAAGAGCAATGCTAACACATGCCCATCAGTTGAAATGGAAAACTCAGCAAGAACAAAGCATACGCATGTGCTTCCACCTGCCTCCTACTGGTAGGCATTAGGACTTTCTAGCATCTGAAAAAAGCAGTACTAAATGACATAAGAAACGGAGAAAAATGCCAGAATGTTGCATGCAGTATATTATGTGATTTGTTTTCATCTTAAAACCATTTGTAGCCTGTGGCAATGACCTGAATATTGAAGTGTTTCCTTTTGTACAGTGTGAGATTTTGCATAGGTTACTATAGTACATGATGGCAAAGCCTGGGCCAACAGCTTCTCAGAAACATTTAAGATGCCTGTCAGCAGGCAGCATGAGGTGCAGCACCTTGAACCTCTGTTCTTCAGGTAGGAAATGCAGGGTGGGAAAATACATGCCTGGTTCTGAGCAAATTAGGTAACTGGCAACCAATGGCAATGTTATATACTCCAGCATAGCGTAACATACTACTGGAGACAGCTTTCACTGCTTGTGTGCAAAAACTAGGCTAAGCTAAATTAGAAAATTAAAAAGTCATGGCTTTGTGGTCAACGCATCCTCTTGGACCGCAGGTTTAAATTTTGCCAGAGTTAATTCAGTCTTTCCAAAGAAGTACTTCCAATTTGTAATTAATCTTGGCGAGTCCTTAGAGGGGAGACAAGAGGATGAAAGTACTCTGTTAGAACCTGAAATTCCAGGGTATCTTTTGGGAAAGAAATGCTTCAGTCTTGTGATCCTGATCAAAATGTCTCTTCTTCCATAAGCACATTACCTTTTTGATTGCTACTCGGCTTCAAAAAACAGCTCTATGTTGTAGCAGTACTTCAGAGACTACTTAACTGATTGTGAACACCCAAGTCATAAAAACACAAGTCTCACACACATATGTTGGAGACATAATTTAAATCGTGTGTCTTTGTCCACACTTGTCAATGCCTGATTTAATATGGATATGCATTTAACTCAGGGGAACTAATGAAAACCTCCATTCTGGTAGGCAAATCACATCTATTTTTCTACAGGTACAATGCCAAGCTCAGCTTAGCACCTACTCTATCACTAAGTTAAAAGAAAGACTCCTATTGCTTTCTGTTGGTATTGAATAGGGAACTGAACAACACAAAACACTAATATCTGCATCAAAATACCAGACTAGCCCAAAGAGCTTCAGAAGAGCGAAATTCTTGAAGTTATAAAATGATTAGTTTGGGGACTGTCAAGAGTTGTTGTTTACAGCCACCCCCTCTCCCTCTCTAATTTATACAGTAGGCTAAGTACAAAAATTCTTCCCTTGCCTCTTAACAATTTCTTTTTAAAGATCAGGTATAGACTGTGGCTGGACTAGATGGACGATTGGTCTGCTCTGGTCTGATGAATACCATGTAATAATGCTAATTAACCTCCTGGAGAATATCCGTACAGAAAACTGCTTCATAATTTGTACATAGCAAGCATCTATTCTGTTGTGCTGAACTCAGAATTGGGTTCAAGATAGAGGCTTGAACCTCCTCAAAAAAAAAAAACAAACCAAAACAAAAAAAAAACCCAGTGCAACTTAAGAGTCTTGAGAGGAGGTGGAAAAAGGATTCATTTTGGAAAGAAAAAAACAACAAAACATAATCTCTCACCCCACCCACAATTATACCCACATCTTCTGTTTTGAAAAGGAACTATAGATCAGCTAAATTGTTTGTGAAAGTAACCAAATTATGCTAATATTAACTGGATACAGGAGCAGTACTTTACCATCTTATCATACTGAAAATTAGAAACTTGTTTGGCCCTCTTCCTATCACAACCTATTTAGTCATTTAAAAATACTTGGAAAAAACCTAACACATCTATCACCTCCTGACCTGCCCAGATTCATATTTGCTCATCAAATAAGACTGGTCACAGTAGTGAGAACTTCTGGATTCATTCAGTTTTCCTAAACAAAAGACAGGCTGCTCA